GACTTTTCTGTCAACCAGTTTTTAATGCCCTACCTGACACATGAACATACAGCCATGGAACACAAGATTTATTGGTAATGCCCTCAATATAACAGAGATTAAAAAAAGAGAGAGAGAGTTAAGGAAAGGTTTATCTATTGAAGAAAATTTTCTTTGTTGGTTACCAGGGGTGGGAGGGGAAGGGAGGGAACGCTGTTAGATAGATAGAGATAAGTATTGATTTGGGTAAAGAGAAGGGCAATGTACCAAATGTGAGTACCAATATGGTACCACTGAGGATGAGAAAGACATAGAGAGGTACATGAGAGGTACAGACAACAAATATGAACCCTTTTGCACATACAGTACTATGCTGTCAGTGAAGGCAAACATGGTTATATGGATGGATAGATGGGTGGACAGGCTAAACGATCAGGTATGTCTATGAAATGGGGAGGGTAACCAAGAACATATATAGGGTTGGCAGACAATGGTCCTACAAATTTATGTGAATGATCAAAATCCCAGGTGTATAGTAGAGCTGACAAGGGGCAAGGTTGTGGTCACTGCTTGGTCATAGCCAGCTACCCAGAGGGACCGAGTAGTTGAACCTGCGGACTTGGGACCATAGTTGCAGGGGACATCAAGCTCAATTGGCATAACACACTATACAAAACATTGTTCCACCTCCTACTTTGGCGAGTAGTGACTGGGATCTTAAAAGCTAACAAGCTGCCATCTAGATGCAATGATGGGTCTCTCCTCGTCCAGAGCAAAGAAGAATGAAGAAAACCAAAATTCATGGAAACAATTAGTCCTAGTGACTGGTACACCATCCGATCTGCAACCTATACGACTATGAGACCAGAAGAACTAGATGGTGCCTGGCTACCACTGCCATCCACTCGGAAGGGGATTTATGTAGGAGATCCTTGATAGGGAGAACAATGTGGAACAAAACTCAAAATCATTTGGAGGGAAAAAAAAAAGGTGGGGACCAGGTTTGCTGGTCCGATAGAGCCTGGTGGAACCACTGAGACTATGGCCCCTAGCTGTCCTCCAGGTCTGGAATTGAACCCACACTTGTGGTTTCCAGCCGAACAAAATACAGGCATGTGAGTTAAACATTTACTTCAAGATACATGCCTTGGAGAGAACAAGTATGGGAGAAAGAAGGGCTGCTTATGCACAGGGAGACAGCTCAGGGGGCAGGAGTGTAGGGAGGGAGGGAGGGACACTGGGAAGAGGTAACTATGGGGAAGAAGTGGGAAGGGAGTTGTTGCATTGTGGTAAACTGTGGTCAACGACATGAGACAAAGTATATGTGAACTGCTGTATGGAAAGTGAATTTGCTCTGTAAATCTTCACCCAAATCACAATTAAAAAAAAAAAAAAAACTTAAAAAAAAAAAGAGAGAGAAAAAACGAACATGGAAGAGACACATTATGAAAACAAAACAAAATAGCACACACACACACAAACCCATCATTAACCTTCTCAAGATTTCATGAGATAAAAATAATAATATACTGTCTACAACAATTGGTTTCTATTCACCTGGAACAATGGATGAGCAGCAGGAACAAGAGGAGGATATGATATAGGTGCCTAATTGCCTCCATGAAAAACTGCCTCCTTTGCCATGAGAACAGAAGAACTAGATGGTGCCTGGCTACCATTACTGAACTTTGATGAAAGATTTCATAGAATCCTGATCAAAAAGTGGAAAATGCAGAATAGAATTTCAAATTCTCATGGACTCTAGATTTTCTGGACCCATGGAGGTTGAATGAACTCCTGAAAATACTGCCCTGAGATAATCTTTAAACCAAAAATATGCCCTCACACCATCTTAAAACTGAATAGTTCAGCTTCACTAGTAAAAATGTATGCCTTGAGCGTTATGCTTTTTTATAAACTATCTCTACGGGATCAAACTGACAACAGTAACTCGAAAGATCAGATAGGAACCTTAGTGGGCACTGAATATATGTTAATGAGGGAGGAACAACAACAAAAAAGGAGGGTGAGAATGGTTGCACTACTTGAAGAATGTAATCAATGTCACTACAGTGTACATGTAGAAAGTGTTGAATTAGTGTATGCTTTGCTATGTATATTCTCAACAATAAAATTTAGAAAAAATATATTACTATAAAAATCTTAACAGAGAACTAGAAATGGCACTTGAAAATTATGATAGCAGAAATGTAAAATTCCATAAAAGAAATGGAAGATAAAACTGAATAAATCTCCTGGAAAGTAGATTTATAAAACAAACAAAGCAGAAATGGAAACCAGAAGGTAACAAAGAAGGGTAACTGATGATTCAAAATGTATGGTCAAATCTGAGCAAAGATGGTGAATGACTAACTTTGTACAAGGTTTCATGACGTATATGAGGAAGGCCTAATGAAGAGTTTTATTATTATCTACATTTCACAGATTATGAGGCTGAAGCTGAAAGAGGTGAAGCGATTTTTCCAAGGCCATACAGTAAATAGAATAGAGCTATTGTAGGGAAGCAGTTGCTCAGCCAGGGCTGCATTTCCAATCACCTGGCATCCAGGTAGATCCCTGAGTAACTACTGACTGACAAGTTACAGTCAGAATCCATTCAGCAGGGCTGTGGAACAAAGGCCTGGTGGTCCATTTCCAGATGATTACTGCCACTGAAAACCCTACGGAGCAGTTCTACTTTAAAACATGGGCACACCATGAGCCAGAACTGACTCAATAGCAACAAGGTATTTTTTTCTTTTTGGGCATCCAGGTGGGACCATGTGACTGATTCTGGTCAAAGTATGAGAGAAAATGTCATGAATCACTCTAGGCCAGTATATGCTATGTCTTCCCTACAGACTCTCTCTCCCTTCAGAAGTAACCCTGGACCCAGGGGATAAATAAAAATGGTAGAGTCAGAAGGTACAAGGGGTCTGAGCCTCTGAGTCAGTCCTAGGGATTGCTGCACAACCAGCTTTCTGTGTGAGCTAAGAATTCACTTCTGAATGTTAAACCACTAAGATTCTGGACTTGTTTGTTTAAGTAGTTACATTACTCTAAAAAGACAGAATATGATACTGAGAGGAAAGACCAAGGGGATCTGACATCTGAATTGTAATAATTACATTTAAAGTGAGATCAGAAAAAAACAGGGAGAAGTAAAGGCATTAAAAAAAAAAATTAGTGAAATTTCTCAGAATTGCAGGATATGGTTTCTATCTTGAAAGGCCTATCATCTATCTGGTGGGTAGCATGGATGAAACAGACTCGTAATAATCTCAGCCAACATGCCAGCTGACAGCTGACAGCCAGCATCAACTACCAGACATGTGCAATGAAGAGGATACTAGCCCCTATGATAAGTCACTTCCTGTGTTGAATCACCCATAGTCTTTGAGTCTTTTCAGCTAAGGCCTCAGATAGTGAAGCACACACAAGACATCCCCACTGTGCCTATTCAAATTCCTGACAAAGTCTGAAAACATAATGAAATGGTGGTGTCTTTTGTCAGCCAAGATTTAGGTGGTTGTTACAACTATTGTTTGGTGCTGTTAAGTTGATTTTGACTCAAAGCAATTTCTTATGACAGAGTACAACTTCTCCAAAGGGTTTTCTAGGCTATAGTGCTACAGAGTAGAACACCAGGTGTTTCTCCCATGAAGTCCCTTGTTGAATTCAACTACCAACCTTTCAGTTCAAAGCTGACCACTTAACAGCTGCAACACCAGGGCTCCTTCATTTGTTTCTCAAAACCAAAAAATCAAACTCACTGCCATCAAGTTGGTCCCGACTCACAGTGAACCCTACTTGGGTTTCCGAGGCAGTATCACTACGGAAGTAAATTGCCCAATCTTCCTTTTGAGTGGCTGGTGAGCCTGAACTGCCTGCCTTCTAGTTAGCAGTCAAATGCCTTAGGCACTACGCCACCAGAGCTCCTCCATTTGTTACTAGGACAATTAATATCAGAGGTATCAGCACAAACTCATAGTTTTCAACAGAGATAGATGCAGAAATACAGAGATCAATGTGTGTTATGTGTGTGTATTCTCTAATTCTGATCACTCAGAGGGCCTGAAAGCAGTGAGACTCCAATGGCAATGAGCAAACCTAGCTCCTACACTGTAGTTTCCAAATATCATTTCCACTATAGAGATTCAAAATGAAGAGATCCCTCCTTGGATCTCTAAGACAGTATCTCTACAGAAGTAGATTGCCCAGTCTTCCTTCCAAGGAGTGGCTGGTGGGTTTGAACCACCAGCCTTCTGGTTAGCAGTCAAGTGCCTTAGGCACAATGCTATCAGAGTTCCTGGATGAATTATATTCTTTTGCAATAAAGGACATACTTTGTACAAGTGGCAAAGCTTAAATGACAGTCTGAGGATAAGATGGTAGTAACTTATCAGTGTTACTTCCTGATTGTGCTGGCTGTATTATGCTTATGAAGGAGAATGTCTTTGTAGGGAGAACATGCCCCACTATAGAAGATCCACATGTTCAGCAATAAATAGAATTTACATGGCCTAGTAGCATAGTGGCTAAGGCACTTGACTGCTAATCAGAAGGCTAGTGGTTCAAACCCACCAGCCACTCCTCAGAAGGAAGGCTGGACAATCTACTTCCATAGTGATACTGCCTCGGAAACCCAAGGAGGGGTTGCTATGAGTCGGGTCCAACTCGACGGCAAATAACAACAACAGTGTCTTTAGAACTGTAAAAATCCCAGTTTCTGCACTAAACAGCCATCTGAATTCATTATGTGGATATAAGATACACATATGTAAGCAATTTTTACAGTTTAAAAATTCTTGATGAAATTCATTTTATGACCTTTGAACCCTGATTAATCCAGTATGCAACACTTGGCCTCAAATGTTATAGTAGCAGAAACACTAGAGATTTCAAATGTTTATACAGAAATCTCAGCAGATAACCTAAGCTGGGGCCACTTCCATTTTGAAAGCTCCTTGAATGTGAGTGGCAAGGTCCTCAGCAGATGGATATTACAGAAGCAGGGTTACCCGGGAGTTGGCTTCTTCTGCGGGAGGCGGCTGGGTGGCTGAGGCGGCAGAGGTGGGGGCGTGGGTTTACACTGTGAGATCCCAGGCTGGGCTGGTTTGATCTGCTGGCTCAAGGCTTCTATCACATTGGATGTTTTGGCAACAGGAGGGGGCGGCGTGGTAGTCAGGGGATCTGTTGGGGGAGAGGGGGAGAGAGAGAGAGAGAGAGAGAGAGAGAGAGAGAGAGAGAGAGAAAGACAAAGAGTCAGACTTCAAGGCTTTCCATTCCACAGACTTCTCACCTGAGACTTTTTCTGGTACATTCTTCCTTTTGTTTAATGATACTTCTTAAGGAGAAAACCTACTGCTGTTTCACTGCTGATTTTCAGAAAACATTATTAGTGGGGAGGGGGTAAAAAATCTTTTCCAAACTAGTAAGTAAGCTGCAAGCCTAAAATTGTGAATAAAGTTTGCTATTAGTCTGCAAGCATTTTTTTCAGTTAGAATTCCCTACTGGGAAGCCAGCAGTTTTCTGCTCTCAACCATGTTGTTATTGTTGTTGTTATGTGCCATCGAGTCGGACCCGACTCATAGTGACCCCTCCTTGGGTTTCCAAGGCAGTATCACTACGGAAGTAGATTGCCCCATCTCTCAACCATAAGGCTTAGGAAATGGCAACAGGAGGCTAACGTCTGGGAGCCAAGTTCTAGCACTGGGTAATTACTTGTGCCGTCTCGGGCCAATACACTTTTTGCCTCAGGTGACCCATCACCAAAAGGGGATGATGCCCACCCATTTCACCAGGGCTGTTGGTCATGGCCAAATCTGAGGAAAGATAGTGCCACACTAATTTTTTTTTTTAATAAAATTCCAGAGTCTGTGAGGAAGGCATGATGAATAGTTTTATTATTTATATTTTATGGATGATGAGGCTGAGGCTCAAAGATGTGACGTGGTTTTGTCAAGGTTACATAGGTAGTAAGAAATGGAGCTGAATCTTGAACCCATGCTTCCTTCCCCTTCTTCTCTAGCAAACATTAAAGCACTTGCTAAAAGTCTAGCATTATCATATTTTCCTTGTTAAAGTGGCAATCTGTTTCAGGACGGGAAGCTCCTATGTAAAGGCTTCTACTGTGATCCCCCCTTACTGTATGACTGTGCTACCTTCAGCTGCTTCCCTCCCACCAGTGGGGACCTCCCCGGACACACTATCCTTCTGCCACCATCATGCAAGGACTTGGCATGACTCCAGGGTCCAGCTAATACACATGTGGTACTTACTATAGTTTTTACTGGGCTTTTAAATTTTTAATTTAATTTAATTAAGCCAATGTGTGTTTACAAGCACCTTGCCTCGGACATATTCTAAATGCTCCCAAAGCAGTTAAACCCAGAGATGCTGGAACAACTCCTTCCTCTCCCAGCCGATGCAGAACAGGAGGAAGATGGCAGCACTCAGGGCTCACACTTCACAGATCGACTGAAAAAGACATGGTGAAAGGCTCCGGCTTTGCATAGTGGCAACAACCCTCTTCTTACAACCTCCCTCCCCTGGTTTATGGTGACTTTCCACTACATGTTGACACTGAAGAAAAACATAAACAGATTATGGCCTTAACGACTGTCCTCAAATATTGGAAACCACCAAGTGGCTAAATAAAACTGACACCATGGGCTAATGTGTGAAAGGAGAAAATGTTGCTAAAGTGTTTCAGAAGACAGAGGAAGAGTGTGAGTGAGCCATCTTGGGGGTTGGGGTGGGTACAGGCAGGAGTTTGCAGCTGGAGAAGAGGAGGCTGGGCAGAGTAGAGGTGGCCCCTGTAGAAGAACCGCAGTTGGTAGCACAGTGCATGGCCCTGTCTGTGCTTGTGCTGGTGCAGTGAGTGGCTCTGCAGCGCTCTCCCACGCTGGCTGCTGACATACCCCCCTGCCATCCAGATCTACAAAGCCCACTGGCAAGAAAGGAAAAAGGAAAAAAAAAACGTACTGGTAGATGTCACACGAAGAGGGGGCAGCGGTGGATGGACAGCTGGCGGATCTGACGAAGATCGCTGCCTGCTTACACCGTCCACACTTACAGAGTTTGTCTTCCACAGGGTGCTAGCCGAGGAGGCTGTCTGAACTACACCCAAGCACACACATGCACACAGACACGCACAGAACAAAAACAGAAACAGAACACTGCATTATTGATCCTCTCCCTTATAAAATGGTAAGCATGACCCTTCTAGAATAGTATCAAGAGAGTAAATAGAATGGTGAGTTTTTTTCCTCCCTCTTGTCTCTTATATCTGGAAGACAGATCCTGATATATACCAAACCAGGGGAAATTCTCAGCTGGCTTTCTCAACCTTAATGCAGAATTTTAAAAGTTCCTGGTTTTACTTTTCAAATACAAATATTACTTGAAGAGGGAAATAAACATGCAAAATTATATCTCCTCAGCATTATATTCAGGATTTATGGAACTTCAGCTCATCTCTATCATTCCATGAAGTTTTTTTCCATGGGCTTGTGAAAATAACTGCCATTCAGAGGTCATACTCTGGGTCTCAGGCAGGAGAGGAAAGCATGAATCAAAGACATTAAGTGATGGGCTCGCTCTATTAACCTCCTGCAAACATAGACAGTTCAGGTGGCCCACAAAAGAAGGGGGATGGTGTCTCTGGTCACAGTCTTTCCTCTATCTCACAAAGCCCTGCACTCTTCCTTGTTGACTCAGGGGCACAGAGCCCAGTGGGCCCCATGTCTGGGGCTGTTGCATGGCCCACACAGGGAGGGTCTGGAAATGAACGTGGGTCACACCCTCACAGGCCACACTACACGGGCCTTGTTCACACTGCCTTGTGGTGAACAAGGTCTTCCCTGCTCACCCCCCTAACTTCCTTTTCTACTTGTTCTGTGGGAATTCCATCTTAGCCGCAGTGTGGACTAGATGGAGAACTCAAGGGAAGACCTACAGGGGTGAACAGCAGGTATGAAATACAGTCTGTATTATCCAAAACAGAAATGTAGCTAAAAGTGAAAATGGCAAAAAAAAAAAAAAAACCAGAAACAAACCAACAAAAAATAAACTAATCCTAAGATTTTAGGAAAGAAAGAAATAAAGATGATAAGGGTATCGCTCCTTTTATATGACCCAACAGAGTAAAATAAAATCTTCCTTCACATAACACATACAGTCAGTAAAAGACACTAATGGGAATGGAGAAAATCAGAGTCTGGAAATACAAAATTAGCGTAGTATATACGATGTGGAAGGAGGGTGAGAGAAGAAAATGAGATGTCACCATCAGGACCCAACTGCAACTTCCTGCCCTAACCCCCTCCTGCACAGCCTGGTGAGGGTCACAGGGAAGAGAAGAGGGCTGTATAACATGTAGTTTGTGCCTTTAGATGCTATCCTTGTTCAGGGACTTCCTCATCATCAGTTTGTCTAGGTTTAGGGGACCCTGTTCTGGGTGTGGAGCACGTGGTGGCTGAGTGCTGTGCAGGCAATGGGCTCTGGGTGTGAGTAAGCGGGCTTGCTTCTGGGGCCTGCCTGCTGTAGTGCCTGCTTACTACAGGGATTTGCTCCTAGAATATGATTCAGGGACCCAGACAATGAGGTTCATCAATACTTCTCTGAGCCTCTCAGAGTGACAGGGGGCAGAGCTATAGGGGAGAGTCTGCAATATACTCAGGCACACTGCTAAAGTGTACAAACCCAGTGCAACTGCATATGGCTATGCTACTGGGCTCTTCAAACCAGATCTTTTAACCACTTGCTATCATCACTCACCTATACTCCATCCTTCCAGGATATTAGGTACTATATAAACACGATTTGGGACTTATTTTTATGATGTTGGCTCCACTGCATCAGCAACTTACAGCAGGCACAGTGTGTGGGTACCATACTTTGTGGAGGCTCTTGTCTTTTCTAGGGCTTCCCTCACAATGCATGAACAGTTCCTTCTTCACATGGGTGAAACTATCTGGAAGCCACCTCCTAGTCCAGAGTTGACTCAGTCACTTCTTAGACCTGCATTTAAGTAGCAAAGTGGCCAGTTGGCCTTTAGTCTTGGGCAAATTACTGTTGGAAGCTTCAGTTTCCTTTTATATAAAACCAAAACATATCACCTGCTGAGTCAAACTTTCTATGTTGTGATAGATCAACTTTGTGCAAAGATGCATGCTTTTTGCACTGAATGTATTCATAGTACCCACATAGACTACTTTGTATTTTTGTAACTAGGTTGAGCATAGTTACCAAAACTACTATCCTTTTATCTTTGATTTCATGGGGATCATAGAGATAAGAAATAAACGCTGGTACCACCATTTGAGTGAGTGCAGGCAGGGAAGAAATAACAAAGGAGAGGATAAAGGCCAAGGAAGGAGCAGGGATTGGTGAAAGTTAAAGAGAAAAGGAACAGAAAGCAGGTTCATAGGAGAACATCTCAAAGCACCAGCTTCATAAATTGGCATCTCCACCTCAGAGCCTCCTCTTGTGGAGAGGTCTTACATTATGTAAACCACATGGATGAAACATCTCTGTCCAGAGTAAGAATAAAATCAAGAAAATCTACCACTGTTGGGCATCTTAAGGCTCATGACATTTCTTTAAGAAGCAAAGAGAAAATAACAAAAGAACAAAAGACCCCAAAGGAAAGAGAAACATCCTAATGCTAGTCCAAATGTCATCTAGTTAGGGGCAAAGCAACTACCAACTTCACAAAGCAAAAGCAAAACAAAACCCTTTATACATTTTCAAGGATCTTCTAATGGTTTAGTACCTTTGCCAATATTCCTTGGAGGTAGTGGGGGGGCACTGGTGGTGCTGGGAGGTGCAGGCTGGGTAGATGGTGGGCTACCGCTCAGGATGGTTCCATATGTCTCGTTCTGCAAGATGCTAGGCACGAAACCTCTCTGCTTGTCCTTGGCAAGGTTTGCAGCATCTCTGGCCAAACAAGCAGCGTTAGACTGAAGCTGGTTAGATCCTAGCTGATAGAAGCTGACAGGCCGGTCTTCTCGCCGATTAGGGCTAGGCTGCAGAAGGCAGGTTGGAGCAGAGGTGTGTGAGTCAGAGGCACATATATTGCTTGGTTGTAACTTACAATCTAGTGGTAAAGCCTCACACAGATAGTTTCTACTTGGGCATTTACACCACTGGGCATTCTGAAATACTGCAGAAGTGTGAGATGTCAAACTCCCTCTTCTCATGTCTTGATTACAACATAAACTACACGTACACACACAACAAAAAATGCCATGATTTCACAAGTTACAATTCTTCACTCTGTGAAGGATTTTAAATTTGTTATTTCATCTTGTGAGCAAGAATTATCTCAACCTAGCTCTATATTTTCTATTCACGGACATGCTTTCTTAGATTATATAACAGCATAGCTAGCTCTGGTCATCCAGCAGCAATCCTCAATAGCTATTGCTATTTCAGGTGAGATCAAAGTCTTCTTCCCATACAAACTGGAATGTTTAAGATTCTTTTAATGCAAGGGCCAAAAAAACACAATCTGCAGGTGCCTCCTGTTTTTGTAAACATAGTCTTATTGGAACACAGCCATGCCCTGCCATAGCTGAGCAGATGCAACAGAGACTCCCCAAACTGATTGCCTTCGATTCTGACTCACAGCAAAACTATAAGACAGAACAGAACTGTCCCACAGGATTTCCAAGGCTATAATCTTTATGGAAGCAGACTTCTGCATCTTTTCCTGTGGAATGGCTGGTGAGTTCAAATTGCTGACCTTTTGGTTAGCTGCTGACCTTTTGGTTTGCTCCCAACCACTTTAACAACTGTACCACCAGGATTCCTATTTTAAGTCCACAAGCCTAAAATATTTACAATCTGGCCCTTTAAGAAGGAGCCTACTGACCCTTGCTCTAACTGAAAGAGCTCTGACGGTGCAGTGGTTACAACATTCAGCTACTAACCAAAAGCTTGATGATTTTAATCCACCAGTGACTCCATGGGAGCTCTGGTAGCGTAGTGCCTAAGGCACTTGACTGCAAACCAGAAGGCTGGAGGTTCAAACCCACGAGCCACTCCTTGGAAAGAAGGTTGGGCAATCTACTTTTGTAGTGACACCACCTCGGAAACCCAAGGAGAGGTCGCTATGAGTTGGGTCTGACTTGATGGCACATAACAACAACAACAGGTGACTTGATGGGAGAAAGATGTGGCAGTATGCTTCTGTAATGATTATAGCCTTGGAAATGGGGCAGTTCTACTCTGTCCTACAGGGTTGCTATAAATTGGAATTGACTTGATCACAACAGGTTTGGTTTGGTTTTTTCTCTAAGCAAAGACCATGTGCTATAGGCTCAGGGTCGCAACCATGACCCAGGTAACTACATTTAACTCACATTTCAAATATCAGCTTCATTGTAATAGTTATGATCCTGAGCAAATTACTTAACTTTGCAGACCCTATTTCTCATCTGTTAGTGGCTATATAACATTAACTGCTTCCCTATCACAGTGCAAGGCACTTAGAAGGTGTGGTAGTTAAGTTTATGTGTCAACTTGGCTGGGCCTGGTTTTGAATGGCCTGGCAACTGGATACAGTTATTTCCCTGGTAATCACCTCCATGGTGGAATCTAGTGGAACAGCCAAGTAGCTGCCTTAGGGATGTGGTCTGCTTCCAGTATATAAGAAGACAGCTTTGAGAAAGGTCTCTGACTTTTTCGGCATGCTTGGACCCTGCACATAGCTGAGTCTTCATTCAGCAGCCTGCCATGTATGATCTTAGGACTGTCTCTGTACTTGAACGACTGGCTTGCCATGTTATTTGGTAATCTTGGGACTGTGCCATTTTATTTGTCAACTTTGGGTTTGTCAGCCTAGGCAGCCAGCAGCTGCCTGAGTTAAGAGAAGATTCCAGTTTCAGTGGACCAGGAGCAAGAGGCAGAGCTGAAGCCCAAGGTCAAGGGCTTTTATATAGCCCCTAGAGTCGGCACTTTGAATTTGGACTTCCAGCCTCCTATGCTGTTAGAGAATAAAATCTGTTTGTTTGAAACCACCCCACTTGCAGCATTTGTTATAGCAGCACTAGAGAACTGAAAGAAATACCACAAGTGAGTGATTTTTAAGCAAACATAGATTTTATTCTCTTACAGTGTAGGAGGCTAGAAGTCCAAATTCAAAGTGCTAACTCTAGGGGCTACATGAAAGCCCCTCGACCTTGGAATCAGCTGCCCCACCTTCTCCTCCCCTCAGTCTATACTCTGGCCAAATCAACAGCTCAAACTCATCTCAAGTGTGCAGAAATCAATAGTTAATGGTTTATGAGATATACAGAAATCTGTCAGAGAAGGAAAATTCAAATATTTTCCACTAATAGAAATGCTTAAAAAAAAGAAAAGTGGTGAGTTGCACTCTGTCAAGGCAAGAAAACTTGTGAGATCTGAAAGAACAAGGCATCCCAGTGAATTCTAGCCCCTCACAGGTTTTACTGTGTTTTTAAAGTCCAACAGAGTATTCTGATGCATGAGTTAACCAAACACATGCCACACTCTGCTGGAAAAAACATGGGGTAGATGAGACTTAGGACTCCAAACCATAGCACTTGGTTTTGTACTTTTTTACTTGGACCATGTTGATTACTTTATTACCTACTCATAAAATGGGCATGGGATATACAACTGCTTGATGAAGAAGCACTTAGGTGCAGGTTGCTTTAAGCTATTTCATTATTTTTTAGGTTGGGAACTATGAAATAGTGCCCTGGTAGCACAGAGGTTAAGTGCATAACTGCTTGGTGGTTTGAACCACCCAGTGGCCCTGGGTGAGAAAAGATCTGATGATCTGCTCCTGTAAAGACTAGAGAGTCCTAGAAACTCTATGTGGCAGTTCTACTCTGTCCTCTAGATATGTTATAAGTTAGAATTGACTTGATGGCAACAGATTTTAAGTATGAAATTCAGTAGCTCTTTTCACACTGATGCTGTTTTGTATCTAACACATTGAAGACATTTCTAATTCTGTATTCCATGAAACAGTAAGTGCAGATGTTAATAGGTGTTCCATGAATAAAAACTTTAATGGCCTGATGCATTTTGGAAATGCCAGATATATCTACCATTGGACATCCTCAACACCCATTAGAACATTAAAGGTGTTTAGAAGTCCTACCAAAAAAAACCTAGACTTGACATAAAGCTCAATTGGCATAACATACTACACAAATCATTGTTCCACCTTCTACTGTGGCTAGTAGCGACTGAGATCTTAAAAGCTTGCAAGCTGCCATCTAGATGCAACGATGGGTCTCTCCTCGTCCAGGGCCAAGAAGAATGAAGAAAACCAAAATTTCACAGAAACAATCAGTCCTAGCGACTGATACACCATCCGATCTGTAGCCTATACGAATATGAGACCAGAAGAAATAGATGGTGCTCGGCTACTACTGTCAACCACTTGGAAGAGGATCTTTGTAGGAGATCCTGGATAGACAGGGGGAACAATGTGGAACAAAACTCAAAATCATTTGGGGAAAAAAAAAAAAAAGCAGGGAACAGGTTTACTGGCCCGATGGAGCCTAGTGGAACCACTGAGACTATGGCCCCTAGCTGCCCTTCAGGTCCGGAATTGAACACACACCTGTAGCTTCCAGCCAAGCAGTAGACAGGCATACTAGTTGAGCATTTATCTGAGGTAGATACACTCCTTGGAGAGAACAAGTAAGAGAGAAAGAAGGGCTGCTCAGGCACAGGGAGACAGCTCAGGGGGTAGGAGTGCATGGAGGGATGGTCACAGGAAAGCGGTACCTATCAGGAGGAAGTGGGAGAGGAGATGTTGCATTGTGCTAAATTGTGTTCAATGTCATGAGACAAAAATGTATGTGATCTGCTGCATGGAAAGTGTATTCATTCTGTAAATTTTCACCCAAATCACAATAAAAATAAAAATTAAAAAACAAAACAAAACTAGACTTACCACCATCAAGTCAATTCAACTCACAGTGACCCCCATTGGGTTTCTAGGAGTGGTAAATCTTTATGGAAGTAGATTGCCCCATCTTCCTTCTGCAGAGCAGTTGGTGGGCTTGAACCACCAACCTTCTGATTAGCAGTCAAGTGCCTTAGGCACTGTGACACTAGAGCTCTTTACAAGTCCTTGAGATACAGTTAAAAAAATTTTTTAAACCACTTAAATATGTTTCACATGGCATTTCCCACTAATTTCAACATGGACCATTTTCAGGCTTATCTAGTACACTTTGCTGAAGAGGAAATGGAATTACATAGCAGCTATGAGTTTGGGCTTTGGAATCAGACTGCTTGAGCTTAAATCTTAGCTCTGAAACTTGTGTAAAGGTGACAACCTTCCTGGGGTGCAACCAAGTACACAAGACAGTGAGTTCTGTGAACCAGGAGGCAAGAGAACTGATTCTAGTCCTAAGTTTGACTCTTAATCAACTGCTTCACTTCGGCCAACTCAACTTCTCTTGAGGCTTCAGTTTCCTCATGAGATAACGAGGAAGCTGGTATTCCCAGGGTCATGTAATTTCAGTGTAGGTTTTTAAGATCAAATAAATGACCATAATGAACCAGGTGAACATAATCAATTATGTCAGGGAAAACCTGACTCTATAATTTTTTTCCACAGTAAGTGAGCTTTCTCTAAGAACCACTATCATCCAAGACCCTCCTATACATTTTCTTCCAATCAAAAAGTAAACAGCTACCTATGATTATTTAATAAACCATTCCCTGAAATGAATGTGTGTAAAGCTGGGAGACAGGCAGTAGTAGTGGAAAGTGTAAAACCAAAATCTACAGAGATGAATGAAAACACAAATTAATTGTATCTCCCTTCCTACAAAACAGCTTTCTGTCGTAATTATAGGCTAGGACACACAATGATCTGAATGAAGCTCATCAAAATCCTTCTAACATCCTGCAGTTTGGCACAAACCTGCAATTTCTCATCCACATCATCGTCACTTTCATCCAGATCTTCATGGAGCAATCGCCATTCATATTCAACGTGAACATGAGAATTAAACCTTCCAGATAAGGCTTGAGTGAGCTGAAAAGGACAAAAGGATTGTCAGAGATGCTGCTCTTATACTGAGGCACATGAAACAGACACCCACCAAGATGTCAACAGTAGAAGGGCAGCTCAGTATGAGGAGGAGGGAGCTGGCTCAGAAGGCAGAGGACCCACATTCTAACACAAGGCAAGTGCATTTAAATCTTCGAGTCTCAGGTTCCTCTCTGGAAAAGAGATGGGTAAGCCTCACACACTGCACCCCTCCCCACTTACCTAACTTACAGGACAACCTTGAATCTGAAACCTGGTAACTCCCATTAAGTGCTGTATAAACTGTAAAGTGCTGTATACAGGTAAGGGGCATCTGAAATATTGAGGATAATGATTAGCCTGTAAGTGCTGAAATACTATTTACAACAATGAATGTGTTCACTAATTATTAACTCTGCCCTGCGAAAAATAATTTGAACCACTATTTTTTCTGTCCTTCCAAGAAAGACAGCTAGCAATCTGTCAAGGCAACAGTAGAGAAGTTAAATATTCATTACATATAATGGGTGTCAAGAAGTTCTGGTAGCATAGTGCCTAAGGCATTTGACTGCTAACCAGAAGGCTAGAGGTTCAAACCCACCAGCCATTCCTCAAAACGAAGGTTGGCAATCTACTTCCGTAGTGATACTGCCTCGGAAACCCAAGGAGGGGTGGTCTCTATGAGTCAGGTCTGACTCGATGGCAGTGAATTTTTTTTGTTTTGTTTTGTTTTTTTAATGGGTGTCTTAGGGGATAATTCTCTCCATAGCCACATAGTGGCTGTGTGACCTTGGGCAATTTACTTAACTTTTCTGTGCCTGTTTCCTCCTCTGTAAAATGGGGATAATAGTAGACATCACCTCATAAAATAGTTGTGAGCATTAAATGAGTTAATAGATATAAAATGCATAGAGTAGTATCTGGGTAGATAGATATAACACTTACTTATATAATTCTACTTACTGAGAACTTACTATGTATCAATTGCTTTACAGGGATCAACAACAATTCTCACAACCCTGCTGTCTTGTATAACTGATTCTACTTTACAGAAAAGAAAAATGCCTTAGAGACTTTTCCACATCACAGTGGTGGGCCCCAACTGCAAACCCAGGTCTGCCTGGTCCCTGCAGTTTTTTTCCATTGTTCACACTGCCTCTTCTTTCAGAACAGGAAAGGAAAAGATTGTGAAGAGTATAACCAAAATAATTTGGATTTGGGGAACAAAGTAAGAAAGCACTGTAAAGTAATAGGGTTTACAGATACCACAGAATGGGCAAAGTTGTGTCAGACCTGTGGGACTCTACTCCAATAGCCCTCCACAATGCCAGTGCTATTATCAACATGTTGAAACAGCAAATACTGCCTTGTGTTCTATGTCTCTCCACAAGAGGGGGTAGTTACCTCCTCTATAGAGATTTTCCTAATACTCTTTCTCCAAGCAGAACCAGTTGATATCTGGGATGTTGCAACCTGCTTTGCGACAACTTCTGAGAGGCTAGGAGAAGAGCTCTTCCAGGGCTCCATGGGCAGGGCCAGTTCACTGTCCCAGGAAGAGGCACCCCCTTGCCCTGTCCATGCCCACATGGAGACTCACCAGCTCCTCACAGTGCTCATGCTTTAGGCGCTTGGCAATGTCCAGTGGTGTCTCTCCTGACTCATTAGCTGAAAGTCAAGGGCAAGGAAAGGAGGGCATTATGGCAACAATAGCCAAAGTTCTGACATCTAGAGGCAATTTAAAAAATAAAGCAGCACTAAATTAATTGAACATAATTAATGAAATCCAATTAGTCAGCCCCAGTCAGGGCTAATTTGTGTCATAATTGTATAGCGAGACTAAGAACTGCAGGATTATAGTATAGTTGGCAAGATTCTAAGGGACAAGGTTTGAGAAAATCAAGAAAATAAAATCGTACAAGTAGTCAACTAATTAAAATCAATATTCAAACTAAAAGTCAACTGAACAAAGTTGTCCAGTACAAATCTCTAATCAAAAACACTGTTCATTTAGTTACATGCCTTTGAACTTATTAAACTTTTACATCTCCTTCTAAGCAGTCTATAAATGTGAACAGTTTGTACTTTCTTCTAAATAAGTCTCAGTCAGGTTTGAGTACTGATTGAAAAAAAAAGAAAAAGTAACCTGGTTCTCAAGCAGATTGTCTTTTTGATACTCTCCTTCCTGTGTTCAATATTTCTTCAAAAGCACTTCCTCGGGAACTGATAACAACTGGATGCCCTCATGGCAAAATACTGTTTGTCTGTCTGGCTGTCAGTATGTCAGAGGTCCCATGGCAGAGGGGGGATGAACAAGAGTTGCACATAGAGAAACTTGGCACAAAAGATAGAAGGGGAATGGGCAATATCTCCCACAAGTAAACCTTCTAAACACCACCAGAGCTCCCCCAAAGCCAAGTAAATAGGGGTAAATCCATAATCTTAACGAGAAGTAAGAAGGTTCATGAGCAGCAACTCAAAATTCCCTAAAAGTTGTCCAAATTCATGTCAGTATCATTGACAGCTGCAGGGCATGTCTCTCACCCTCCTTATAAGCCATAAAATGCCTGCAAATGTATATAAAGTCTAAGAAACAATGGATAAGCACTATTCTAAAAACTGAGACCACAAGCTGCCTTGCAGAACATGTAGGAAGAGAGAGCCTTTACACTTTATAGGCCAGGTTTTACTTATATTCTGCTCTGGTAGGAGTCCAAAGTATCAGAAACCAGAGAGGAGACAGAGACCAAACCAGGAGGACAGCCCCAAATCCAACTGCCCATTTACCTATTTCAATGGAAGCCTTCCCCCGGAGGAGGAGTTTGAGGCACTCCGCGTTGTCAGTCAGGCAACAGTAATGCAGGGCTGTGCTACCTTTACCTGTCTGTTTATCCAGGTTTCCACTAGCCAAGAAAAGGGGTAAAGAAAAGAGAAAAAGTGAGTCATAAGCCAGAGGACTTGTTTGCAGCCCTCTGCAAATAAGTTATAAACTTGGGGCGTATAAACAGGAGTGGCCATCAGCAATTGGAATAAATGACTGAACAACTGCTCTAAGTCTTCCTCAATGGTGGGGAGACAGGACCACCCCAGCTCTTATGGTGGGAGGCCTTGGCACAAGGGTATCAAGGAACACAATGAGGACAGAGACGCCCAAAAGAGAAAAGAGAACAGCATCCCTGCTGCTGCTGAAGCAAGGGCTGGCTGAGGGTGGGGCAGCTGTACCTATCAGGTGAGCCCCGAGCATCTGGCATCCTTTCTATTTCACTGTCAGTGCCCACAGCCTGAAGCTGCAATGGCCTAGTCTGGGTCAAATGCCTCTTTAAAGGAAGTGCCTCAAGAAGTCTGCATGACTCACCCATCCTGTCCCACAGAAGGATGGGAGATTCAGAATTTTTTCCACCTTATTACTTGACAGTCTGGACAGGAAGAGGAAAAGCCAATTTCCAAAGTCCAGAGTCCATAGCCCCTTTGAGCTTGTTTACCTTAGGCTTGCTCTCTGAAAACAGGATAATGGGAGAATCTTGAGATTTTCAAAAATCCTAGTCATAAAAAAACAAACCAGTTGCATCGAGTTGACTCTGACCTATGGCTACTCCATGTGCCAAAACGGAAGTGTGCTCCATAAGGTTTTCAGTGATTGATCTTTCAGAAGCAGAATGCCAGGCCTTTCCTCCTAGGCACCTCTGAGTGGGTTCAAAGTGCCCAACTTTCAGTTAGTAACTGAGTGCTTAAATGTTTGTGCCACCCGCAACTCCTTCAAAATAAGACATGTTATTCAAAGGTATTCACACTCCTCAGACATAAGACAAGCCATTTAATTGACAGTGGAGGCAAGGAGCCTTAAAATTATGGAAACCCATCATATTCTGCTTGGAAGGAAGGTTTTTATCACATTCTGAGGAGGATGGGAGAATTTCTGCTTGCTGGACAGACAAATGGGGACACGGAAGTGGGCACTGTCAAGAGCTGATAATGCCCACTACTCCCACTGGAGGAAACCAATTAAGATTTTGATGCTAAAAAAGTCTCATTTTCTGACTCTCCTCAACTCCTGCTGTCCTCCTTTTCTGGAAGAAACCAGGATTTTCATTCCCCTGCCCTGAAAATTTACACTGAGGGAGAACAGCATCTTTCAGCTATTTAGTTAAATATCTGTTGAGTCTCTATTACATGCTAGGATTTGGACTGGCTTAGACTATCACTTGGCAGGGACATTTGATCAGCTTCTACCATACATCTAGCTAACCCCCAGTTCCTTTGGAACCTGCCATAGACCTCAGGGCTGATTTACCTTCAGTTCCTCTACCATTTAGCCATTCTTCACTCCACCTCTCAGAAACAGCAAGGAAAGGCAAACCAAACTCACTGCTGATGAGTCAATTTCACTCACAGTGACCCCTCCCTGGGTTTCCGAGGCAGTATCTCTAGAGAAGTAGATTGCGCAATCTTCCTTCCAAGGAGTCGTGCTGGTGGGTTTGAACTATCAGCCTTCTGGTTAGCAGTCAAATGCATTAGGCACTACACCACCAGAGCTCCCGCAAGGAAAGGCAGAGGATACAAAATGCAAAATATCCTGTTGCTTTTGGAGCAGTTTCAGTGGTTTTTAACTGATACCTCACACGCCAACACAAAGCACTGTTAGAAAGATATACCTGGAAGGGTCTCAAAATCTGGCCCTCAGGAGCCAGGCAAGTAACACATGAGTGAAGCAGCATGTATAAAATAAGACGGGCTGCTGTGGCCTGTGGTAAACTGCAGATGCAGTCTTTTCTGAAGGCAAATTCTGATTTAAACAAAAAAATTCTTTAAAAATTTTTCAAACCAAACTAAATGAACAGACTCTATTTCCTAATCTCTTCTCTACTGCATAGAACACTGTTCAAGGCATGTGAGTACCCCTTCACAGGGCAGCCTATGGATGAGACCTCTGCAAAGATGTTGGGTATAGGGCCACACACACATACTTTGCTTTCTAGGAGTTCAGGATTGAGCAGAGGCACTTTCCTGGTATCTCTATCTCAAACACTCTGGGACCAAGAAAGGATGAAGGGTCTCTATTCTTGCACTGCAGGACTTTGTAAGATTTCAGTGCAAAATAAGCCTCATTTTCCAGGCTCCTTTTTTTACCAAATGCTGCCAGGTATGCCATGACGCACTCCACACCTGGCAGCATGTCTTCTGTCCCATGATTCACGTTTAGACCTGAAAAAACTCAAGCATCTTGCCAACACAACTGAAGCAATAAGGCAGGATCTAATTTCTTCCTCAGAAATAAATGCCTCCCCTTCATTTTAGAACACCTACCTGTTCTGAACCAAAAAATCTACAATGTGAAGAGATGTCCGATCCACAGATCTGACTGCAAGATGGAGGGCAGTTTCATCTGGTTCCTGAAAACCAAACACAAACATTCCAGAACTCTAATGGCAGCATGCAGTTTTGTGTCCAATACAAGCACAATCATGTGTATCTCTTCAAATTGGATTTATTTTCTCCTTCCAAAAAAAAAAGTACAAAACTTATTTCTAAGATAATATGTTGCTGTTGGCCACCAGCAAATTGGTCCCATCTCACAGTGACCTGTGCACAATGGAACTAAATGCTACCTGGTCCTATGCCATCTCCATGACCAGCTGCAGATCGGACTGCTGGGATCCACAGGGTACTCAATGGCTGATTTTCAGAAGCAGATTGCCAGGCCTCTCTTCCTCTAAGATGTATGTTTGTTACTTGCTGTTATGTCACTTCTGACCCACGGCAACTCCACGTGTGAAGAATAAAACTGCTCCACATGGTTTTCAAGGCTGTGATCTTTCAGAAGTAGATCACCAAGCCTGTCTTCTGAGATGTCTCCAGATGGGTTCAAACTGCCAACCTTTCAGCTAGTAGTTGAGCAGTTAACCATCTATTCCACTCAGGGACTTCTCTAAGATAGTTGTTATTGTTGTTAGGTGCTGTTAAGTTAGTTCCAACTCACAGCACTCCTGTGTGCCCTTTTAATCTCTGTGGCAAATGGAGGTTTCTCCAGGTCTCCTACACCCCAATTTCCTATACTTGCTCCCTGAATAAATAAAAATACAATTTTTAAAAATGATTAAAGTTTTTTCATTCTATACTTACAAATAAAGCTATAAATGCTAATACCTTTATTGTCTAATTCTCACTGACCGAAGACAAGAAGTGGTGTGTCTGTAACAAAGAGAAAGATACTGGTCCTTTAAAGCAACACTGCCCAGGAAGGCCTAGCAAAAACGTAGGCCAATACCAGCTAGCCTGAGAGAACACAGCTTTAACTTACATGGCACGCTGGATAACTCTGAACACTGAGGCTGAATATAACATGCTTAGCTGACAATGTGGGAAGAGCAG